ATGCTTATGGATGCCATCCCAAATCCCAAGACTCGAAGAATGGTGGAGAATGCCATCACACGCGGTGTGTGGGATCAAATGGATGAGCTGCAGCCTGTGGTGGAAGAATTGGAAGAGGAAATGGAAGCCTACAATGCACCTAAACAGCAGCATGTGAGGCTTCAGCAGATGGCCAGAGACTCTTCACTGTCAGAATTTAGGTCTTGCTTCTAATTGCCACTTCGCTAGTGTTTATGTAAACACGCCAACGATTCGACTCAGTAATGCTTGAACATAGTTTGCCAGCTTACAACATCCTGTGACACTGTCTTGGTTGAGGCACAAATCCAGCGTCGGCTCTTGCCATGTGTATCGTTTTGTTCCCAAATGCATAGCAAGGGTTATCAAGGGTTCCCGTTTCACTGGGGGTGTGGGGGTTGAGGGTGTGGCCACCTTGGAGGTTTCAAACGTCGCGTAGCCTCCTTTGTGACATTCCAACATGTTTCATAACGTGTGGAAAGTCTTTTTGTGTGGCAGGCGCAATACTTTGGTGTCAGAGTTGAAGTTTTCGTGGCAGGCCCCACACTCTACACTTTACACTGTACACTCCACACTTTACACTTGACACTTTACACTCCACACTCTGCACTCCACACTCCCCACACTACACTCTACACTCCACATTCCGCAATCCACACTCCACACACTACACTCTACACTCCACATTCCGCACTCCACACTTTACACTTGACACTCCAAACTCTACATTTTGCACTCCACTCATTACACTTTACGCTCCACACTCCAAGCTTTACACTTGACACTTTACACTCTATGCTTTACACTTTACACTCCACACTTTACACTTTGCACTTTACACTCCACACTTTACAATTTACACTTGCACTTTACACTCCACACTCTACTCTACACTCCACACTCCACACTTTACACATTACACATTACACTCCACACTTTACACTTTACGCTCCACATTCCACACTTTGCACTCGGCCGTCTTCCGGATTCCACAGTCTACAGTGCATTGGTACGGTAACAAAAGACAAATGCGCAAGACTATTCAATTAACTTGCTTCACAAAAGTGTTCTACGTGACTGCATTCGGCTTCGTGGGCTGCATCTGTTTTTTTGACTGACCCATACTGTCCTCTGATCTCAGTGTTAGTACCCGTGAACCTGTGATGATCTGTGTCTAAGGCACGCTTTGACTCTGTGCAAGATGATATTGCAAGGCAACTCGCAAATATCAGCAGCTACAATGAGCGACACGTGCAGGCAGTGACGAGACTGGAGGAAAAGGAGCCAGAAATACCAGCAGATTCTGACTCAGAGGTGACTTGCAGATTTTAGCTTACATGCGCACTTGAACTCACTGTTGGCTGTTTGGATCAGTTTTTCTTTTTGATTTGGTTAAAACGGTGTTAATGATTTTTGCTGTTCGGACATGTGCTTTGGAAGTGTTGTTTGCACTTGTTTGCTGCGCAGCCCTCTTCATTATTTCGCTGTTACTCATCTCTCTATGTGTAAACGGTAATGGCCTTGGAGCTCATTGGAGCTGTCAAGGTGCCAGAAGTTGAGGAGGAGGAAGAAGAAGATGAAGAGGAGGATTCAGAGGAAGACGAGAGTGCTACCTCCAGCACCGCAGCACACCTGCAGCATTAAACACTTCGGATACTTCATATATTCTTCATATATACATTTTCGTTTGTTCTTTCGATCTATTGCCTGACTGGTTCAACAACATGACTGTCTAAGGGCGAAACAAATGGAACTTCCACCGACTTCCACCCTCTGTGCAAATGGAAGTATTATAGGAGCGCATCTTGAGCATATTTGATGAATTTTCCAGTGAGATACTTGATTCTCTTCAAAACCATGCTAAACCTTGACATGCGCTTGCAAAGGCTTGGGATGAGGAGGAAGAGATTCGGAAGTTTATCGCTATGCAAGGACAAGCTCCCTCGAAAGCTCAGCTGAAGAAGATGAAAAAGACCCAAATGCGTGATGCCACTCTGAATGATTGATTTGCAAAGGTTAGACAACAGAGCACACTCAATCTGCAAAGTGACAATACATTGCCCAGAGGCTGAAATCAGCATTGTTATTGTATATAATACATTGCCATATTCCATTCATCCATCTTTCGCCAATAGGGTTTGCATTTGGTTAAACTGTTTTCTGGGGATTTTGACTCAACGAGCAGACCGTTTCTCTGGATGAAAACCGCTGAAAGGCGAAGATCGCAAAGTTGAAGAATGATAAAGCGGCAAAGGAGAAAGAGATTAAAGGCCAGTCAGATGCCAAGATCAAGGACAGATGTCTAAACCGCGATGTGAAACATTGTCTGGACATGCCGAATTCCTTCATGTTGTTTCCTTGCAATCCCTCGACATGTTCCATATTAAATATATAAAGATAAGTGTAGGAAAGCGAATGAATTGATGATACCACTATATACTTGTCATATATATATATATTATATACACCCAGGACGTCCAAAGAATAGCTTCCCCCTGTAAGACGATTCTTTGGCACTTGTCGCGCGCATCACGCTCGTCACACTTCGTCACACTTGTCACGCGTGTCATCCGGCATTTCCCAGCGCCACATAATTATAAGTGATTATATATATATATATATAGAGATATAGAGATATTTAGTTGTAGCACTTGTTTCCCCACCTGCCAGGTGAGGGTTGTTAGATTTTATCAGAGTTGTTCTTCTCCTCTTCCTCCTCCTTCCTCCTCCTTCTCCTCCTCCGCGTCCTCCTCCTCTTCTACCACCTCTGCCTCCACTTCAACGTCCACTGTTGCCTTGCCAACTCTTGGCCAAGCTCTTCGCCAACTTCGGAGCTCAGTGCGCACCGCTGGACAGTGCGCACCGCTGGACCTCAACCTGGGACCTTCCCAGCTCAGTGCGCACCGCTGGACCTCAACCTGGGACCTGCCGAGCTCAGTGCGCACCGCTGGACCTCAACCTGGGGCCTTCCGAGTTCAGTGCGCACCGCTGGACCTCAAAAGCCAGATAGATATGCCAGATAGAATGTCAGATAGAATGCCACAAGATATGCCAGATAGAATGCCAGAAGGTATGCCACATAAAGTGCCAGAATGTTTGCCAGATAGAATGTTAGAAGATATGCCAGAGAGAATGCCAGAAGATATGCCAGATAAAGTGTCAGATAGAATGCCAGAAGATATGCCAGATAAAGTGCCAGAAATGTTTGCCAGATAGAATGCCAGAAGATTTGCCAGATGATATGCCAGAACATATTGCAGAAGATATGCCAGATGGAATGCCAGAAGATATGCCAGAACATCTGCCAGAAGATATGCCAGGTAGAATGCCAGAAGCTATGCCAGATAGAATGCCAGAAGATATATGTCAGATAGAACGCCAGATAGAATGTCAGATAGAATGCCAGAAGATATGCCAGATAAAATGCCAGAAGATATGCCAGATAGAATGCCACAAGATATGCCAGATAGAATGCCAGAAGGTATGCCACATAAAGTGCCAGAATGTTTGCCAGATAGAATGCCAGAAGATCTGCCAGATAGAATGCCAGAAGATATGCCAGAAGATATGCCAGATAGAGTGCCAGAAGATATGCCAGAACATATTGCAGAAGATATGCCAGGTAGAATGCCAGAAGATATGCCAGATAGAATGCCAGATAGAATGCCAGAAGATATGCCAGAAGATTTGCCAGTAACAAAACGTATAAATGTCATGGTGGGGATAACTCGAAGTAAAGTAATTTACAGACATTCTGACACCCGTGCGGCGACGTTTATCGTGAAACTCATTTTGAAGGACTGTTCAGCCTTTTTCAGGCAGTGGCTCTTATGTCAGTAACGATTCATGGCATGAAAGCCACGTGAGTCGCCACTACTACTGTTGTTTGTCCAGCGTCTTCTTTCTAGAGAATCCTGTAACTTCAGGCTGCTTAGAAGATAGTGGAATGCGTCGGTCCCAAATGGCCAAGTTGGTGCCCAGACATCTAATTAGTTTTGATTGTTCTGCCGAAATACAATAATTCTTGTCTTCCAAGGAGAAAAAACGCTGGGACCACGCTGGAACCACGCCAGAACCACGCGCTAGAAAATAGTCTTTCCACGCTAGATAGGCGTTCCACGCGGAACCACGCGCAATTTGTAAAACATGTTGCTATGCTGTGGCATGCTATGGCTTCATTTCTCCATCGTTTTAGCCAAAAGGTGACTGCATAGATTTGGCCAACATCACGTTTTCTCTAGCAACACAAAGTGGAATGGGGTAGGGGGCATGACAAGTGCAAATCAACCTGCCGTGGCGTAGCAGCAGCGATGGTTGGACCAATTGATTTGACACTATCCATTGTCTAGATAAATTCGACGCCAATAGACCTACAAATGATTTTATCTATGCAGGTGGCTTGACCATGACAACGTTCTAAAAAAAGTAGGCGCCTATGAAAATTGCTGGTTTTCAACACTATAAATTGCAATGCAACCCAGGTCAAAACCCTATACTGTAGCACAGTTAATCTGCCCAGGAGCCCCATTCAAAATTTCAGAATTAGTCCAGAAGTAGTCTTTTCCAAAGACCGTTTTAAAGATAGTCTTCGACCATACGGGGTATACGTACTATACAGTTCAGTATATATTGTAATTACATGTGATAGCATCATCAGTTGTGTTTGGAGAAGCTTGATGGACAGCGGAGGAATTGCTACAGAGATGGGAGAAGAAAGTTGCATCCGCGCAGGAGGAGCTAAAGGCCCGAATCAACTGGAACGTCGGGGTCCTGTAGAATGGGGATATGACCATATCTTTGCCCATAATATATATTGTAGAGCTTCGCACACCGGGGATGCCATAAGGGTTATGTATTAGTAGTGTGAGCGTTGGTGTTGTTCATGTGCCCTGCGCGTGCGCGCAGGTGCAGTGCACAGTGTGATGTTCTTTTCATACCGCAGCTTGTAACCATCTTGCCACACATCGTTTTGTCGCATTTGTGTGCTTGTTCTTCTTGTTCTTCTTGTTCTTCTTGTTGTTGTTGTTGTGGTGGTGGTGGTGGTGGTGGTGCTCTGCGCGTGCGCGCAGGTGCAGAGCACAGTGTGATGTTCTTGTCATACCGCAGCTTGTAACCATCTTATCACACATCTTTTTGTTGCATTTTTGTGCGTGTTCTGTTTCTTCTTCCTATTCTTCTTCTTGTTGTTGTTGCTGTTGCAACACGGCTTATTTTCGCATTTTTGCGGACCCCTACAAATCGTCAAAAACCATCGGAGCAAAAAAAAAAAACGTAAATGCGGATGTTTTTTGCGCCTCCGAAGCCCAAAACCACGGCATTTACCATGTTTTTTGCATCTGGAAACAGAAATCACGGCATTTTCAGTGTTTTTGTGCCAGTGCCTAGCAAAAACACTGGTATTTACGCTGTTTTCACCATGTTGCAAGATGTAGCTTCTTTATGCGAAATGGACAAAAACATTGTATTTTACGATGTGTTTGCTTCCCGAGCGCAGCAAAAAATCGTCAAAACATGTTTAAAAACGGTCTAAAATCGATTTCCAAAAACATCTTAAAATTTCGGCATCTTTTTCCCCGGCCCCGGGCCTTCAAAAACGTGAAAACACCACCAGCCTGAAGGATTTTGGTGGGGTCGGCGGCAGCCCCGGGTAGCTCCAATTATTCCAATTATTCTTGCCAAACAGTAAACTAACCCTTCCGAACAGCAAAACTGAAGAGGTGCCAAACAAGACCGAAAAATTCCCTTCTGAAACCAAGTATTGTGCACACCTTGCTGCTGCTACTGCTGCTGCTGCTCCTTCTGCTTCTATTTTGTGGGGCCGCCAAACATACAAGTAACCTTGTGAGATAACAGAATTAGGTGGTGTTCTCCTACAAGGGTTTGCGGAGTTTGCTGCAGGAATAACAGCAGCAGCTGGCAAAGAGTAGCACCAGCAACGGCAGTAGCAGCAGCTTTCTCTAGGAATTCAGAAGTCGCGTTAGGATGCGTTAGGCATTTTTTCCGTACAATTTTGATGTCTTTTCATCACGAAATAAGTGCTACCGGTAACAGGAAGGTGGCAGGGGGGTGCTGCAGAAATAGCAGCGGCAGAGCTATCAAAAAGCAGTTTCCGCAACAGCGATAAAAACAGCAGCTCTTTTCTCTAAGAATTCACAAATCGCGTGAGCCACCGAATTGCATGGGTTTCGGCTGTTTCCAAATCAGCCGCGGGAGGGCACGAATGTACGCTGCAGAAAGACTAGAAACAACGGCAGCCCAGTATTTGACGCCTTTTCGTTATACATGTCGGCAGTGTTCTGCTGTTTCGAAATCAGTGCGCGGGACGGGCACACAGGTATGCCATAGGAACAGCCGTGGCAGCTATCAAACAATAATTTAAGCAACAGCAGTAGCAGCCGCGGTTTTGTGAGATGTCCCTTTGTAGGAATGCAGAAGTTGCATCATTTTACACTTTTCCAATGCAATTTTGATGTCTTTTCGCCACGGGATTAGTTGGTGTTCTGCTATTAAAAGTGTTCGTCACAAAATTAAGATGTGCTCTACTCTTTCGGAACGGTGCCAAGGGCGGAAATATGCTACAGGAAGGCCTGGGAAACCAAACCCTAAAAAAACAAGCGGAACCAAGACCTGGAAACCCAAGTCCTAGAAAAAACCAGGAAGCCAAGACCTGGACAAGCAAGTCCTGGTAAAAAACGCCAAGACTTGGAAACGCAAGTCCTACTAAAAATCCGGGTAGGACTGAGGGTTGTCCCGGAATGGTCGTATGAACGTCAGTGGGAAGCTCATTTCTCTGCGCAGGCGCAGTGTTCTACGACCCTGGTACATCTGTGGGTTAGCGTGGTCTAAGACGACTTTTTGGAAAAATCAGTCAGAAAAGTGAACCCCCTGCGGACTTCACACGTTTCGGCCATTTCCAATTTTTCAATCTTTTTCACTTTTTTGGCGAGCCCGGAATTTATAACTTATGTAAACCCTAAATGAAACCCCTAATAGAAGTATGCGTATATGTTCCATGGGGCCGGGAGATTTTATAACTTACGTAAACCCTAAATGAAACCCCTAATAGAAGTATGCGTATATGTTCCATGGGGCCGGGAGATTTTATAACTTACGTAAACCCTTAATGAAACCCCTAATAGAAGTATGCGTATATGTTCATGGGGCCGGGAGGTTTTATAACTCACGTAAACCCTAAACCCTAAATCAACCCCTAGTAGAAGTATGCGTAGGACGTCACTGTTGTTATGACAAGGAAATCCCCTGGCACCAATGGGTTGCTAGCCCCGCTCTCGGGTATGGCCCTCCGGGCCATACCCTCACAGGACGAGGGGTTGTCCCTTCGGGACAAACCCTCGTCCTGTGGGTATATAATAAAAGCCCTACCAATCCAATTCCTGGAGGAATAGAGGAAACCAAGACCTGGAAAACCAAGTCCTGGAAATTGAAAAAGAACCAGGACCTGGGCACCCTATGCTAGAAACAAACAAAAACCTTATAATAGAAAATTGAAATCAACAATTTTTTGCGAACATGTTGTTGCCAAACCCACAGGAAACCCTGCCGGACAGCAAAACAGCATGGCACAGAAGGACGAAGTAGCTGCCAAACAGCACCGAAAAACTCCCGAACGTCCCTTCTCAAACCCTACAAAATCTGAGACTTTTCACCTTTTTACGCATGTTTGCCACATCTTGCAGCCAGCGAGCCTGCCAAGCACAAGCTACATGGCTTAAACCCACAGGTAACCCTGCTGGACAGCAAAACAGCATGGCGCGGAAGGACGAATTGCCACATCTTGCGGCCAGCGAGCCTGCACAGCTGCTATCAAACCCACAGGTAACCCTGCCGGACAGTTAAGCAGCATGGCACGGAAGGACGAAGTAGCTGCCAAACAGCATTGAAAATCACCCGAACATCCCTTGTCTTAAGGCCTACTAAAACTATGACTTTACAGTTTTTTTGCATGTTTGCCACTTCTTGCAGCCAGCGAGCCTGCCATGTTGCTACCAAACCCACAGGTACCTGCCGGACAGCAAAAAAACATGACACGGAAGGACGAAGTAGCTGCCAAACCCCTCCTAAAACATCCTAAAACTAACCCCGTTCAAATTTTTACGCATGTTTGCCACATCTTGTAGCCAGCGAGCCTGCCAAGCACAAACTACATGGCTTAAACTTATACCCACAGGCAACCCTGCCGGATAGCAAAACAGCATGGCACAGAAGGACGAAGTAGCAGCCAAACAGCACCGAAAAATTCCCGAACGTCCTTTGTGAAACTCTACTAAAGCTGAGACTTTTCAACTCTTTACGCATGTTTGCCAGAGTAAGAGTAGTAGGAGTAGTAGGAGTAGTAGTATAGTAGTAGTAGTAGAAGTAGTAGTAGTAGTCGTCGTCGTCGTAGTAGTAGTGGTATTAGTAGTAGTAGTCGTCGTCGTGGTAGTGGCAGTGCTAGTGGTAATGGTAGTAGCAGTCGTCGTCGTCGTCGTAGTAGTAGTAGTAGCAGTAGCAGTAGCAGTAGCAGCAGCAGCAGCAGTAGCAGCAGCAGCAGCAGCTTGCTGGTGTTGCTGTTGATGCTGTTGATGCTGTTGATGCTGTTGATGCTGTTGATGCTGTTGATGCTGCTGATGCTGTTGATGCTGCTGCTGCTGCTGCTGCTGGTGCTGGTGCTGTTTATTCCCTGGTGCGTTCTCCCTTGGCCGGGGTCGGCGGATATATATGTATATATTTATATACACAATATTTAATATAATAATATATATATATATACAATATGATTAATTAATGATTTTATTTTTTAAATTTGTTTATTAATGCATGGTGCGAATATAAAACCTCAGAACAATATCAATAATATTACGGGTATGAACTGGTAATTATGGAGATTCACAGAGATATTTACCATCAACAATGGGGATGTTGTTTGCCCAACAAATTAACGAAATATTATGGAGGTACTGGTAGGATGTACTGATGGTTAAAAAGCCCGGATTGGTATATTCCAAATACCATATTTGTGGCCAAATTCACGATAATGCATTGGATTTTTGTATATACACCCCATTTTCAGACAAAACCAACTCATGGTTGCTCAAAGAGTGCCGATTTTGAATAATGATCGCTGCTGATTAGTGTGAGGGCCCCCCCAAACAATTTGAGGATACTCTATAACTCACACTTTTTCTTGCCCCCCCAACAATTTTTTGGTTAATCAACTTAAGTAAGGATCTCAATGTATTTTCAAATTATTTTCAATTGATTTCAATTTACTTTTAATTTACTTTCAATTGATTTCAGTTTACTTTCAATTGGTTTCAATTTATATACTTTTAATTGATTTCAATTTGCTTTCAATTGCTTTCAATTTACTTCCAATTGATTCCAATTTACTTTTAATTTACTTTCAATTGATTTCAGTTTACTTTCAATTGGTTTCAATTTACTTTTAATTGATTTCAATTTGCTTTCAATTGCTTTCAATTTACTTTTAATTGATTTCAATTTACTTTCAGTTGATTTCAATTTACGTTCAATTGATTTCAAATTACTTTCAACTGGTGTCGATTTACTTTCAACTGATTTCAATTTACTTTCAATTGATTTCAATTTACTTTCAATTGATTTCAATTTACTTTTAGTTGATTTCAATTTACCTTCAATTGATTTCAATTTACCTTTAATTGGTTTCAATTTACTTTCATTTTTTTTCACTCCTTGAATTTTAAAGCTTTAACACAAGTATGGTTTTCTAAAGTAAAGGGATTAGCTTTACCCAAAGAAAGTTGGAGAAAGGGTTATGTTTTTTCCACTCCCAAAAGTTGGTGCTCACAATAGAGTACCATCTAAACAATTATATTATTGAGTAATTGTGCCAATCATGAGGTATCCCCTTGAAAAATTGTTTGGGTGTTTTTTTTTTAAATAAGGCTTTAATAACGCATCTAATTATTTGGGAAACCTTGAATTTTAAAGCTTTAACACAAATATGGTTTTCTAAAGTAAAGGGACCAGCTTTACCCAAAGAAAGGTGGAGAAAGGGTTTTGTTTTTTTGTTCATTCCCAAAAGTTGGTGCTCACAATAGAGTATCAGTATCATCCAAACAATTATATTTTTGAGTAACTGAGCCAATCATGAGGTATCCTCTTGAAAAATTGTCTGGGTGCTGTTTTTAAATAACGGTTTAATAAAGCATCTAATTATTTAGAAAACCTTGAATTTTAAAGCTTTAACACAAATATGGTTTTCTAAAGTAAAGGGATTAGCTTTACCCAAAGAAAGTTGGAGAAAGGGTTATGTTTTTTCCACTCCCAAAAGTTGGTGCTCACAATAGAGTACCATCCAAACAAATAAGGCTTTAATAACGCATCTAATTATTTGGGAAACCTTGCATTTTAAAATTTTAACGCAAATATGGCTTTCTAAAGTAAAGGGACCAGCTTTACCCAAAGAAAGGTGGAGAAAGGGTTTTGTTTTTTTTTCACTCCCAAAAGTTGGTGCCCACAATAGAGTACCATCCAAACAATTATATTATTGAGTAACGGAGCCACTCATAGTGTAATTAATTAATGAAAAAGGAAGCAATTAAAGGAACATATAAAAAGGAAACAATGAAAAAAAATGAAACAATAGTAAATAAGAATAGAACAAAAATAATAAATCAAAAATAATAATTAAATAAAAATAACATATAAATATATAAAATAAAAACAAAACAATAATAAATAGAAACATAAACAATAAAACATTTGGATTTTTTTTTAATGTGGGAAAAAATCTCACAATAGAGGCTCCCCCCAACAATTAGCATGTTGCTGAATTAGGAACAAAAAAAATCCCACAATAGGTCTTTAATCGGGTGCAAGCATTAAGAAGTCTGGTCTTGCGGTCTATGCTTGCAGCAGAGCATGTTTCGAGGTTGATAAAGAAATGCTACTAGGAAACAATGGGAAACGCAAACTAAACACAACTTCATCATTCAGAGTCGGCATTGTGGGACTGTGCCTTTCCAGTGTTTGTGAGGTATTGGAGCCTTCTCTACAGCAAGCGGAGGAGTTGAAAGTTGAGCCCGTGGATGAGGTGGAGAAACCAATGAGGAAATAGGGACACACATTTATTGGAAACTCATGGTGTCCAACTTGCAACCAAGTGATTCTGTTTTAAAACTGTTAAAAAATCATTTTTTTCACTAGGGACATGACCTTTTTTTGGTGCGCACTGCTTGTAGGCACTACTTGAGCAGAGCGCTCAAGCCAAAAAGATGGAAGAAGAAGCGGCAAAGCTCACTCAACAAGTAGAGAAGCAGCAGCAAAAAGTGCAAATTTTGCAGGAAGAAGTAAAGGACTCCCTGAGCATCCCTGAGCAAACTCAAATGGGCAGAAAGGGTTTTGCAGAGATGATCAAAAACTGTATTGGCAAGGGCCGACTTGAAATGATTTGAATTTTACAAGATCGATTGATACGGTCCGACCACTTTTACGGTCATCCCAAAGAGGTCTGTGTAGGCCTTGGGAAACCATCTTCGAACAGACTCTGCGGTTTTCAGGAGGAGGAAGTGAAGGTGCAACAAGAAGAAGAGGAGGTGCAAGAACTGGTCCAAGAGGTTGCCGTGCTTCCACCCCCTGATCCGCGATGGGGTCTTCTCAAAACTCTTGGTGAGCAACAGGCGCGAGGATGCATTGCAGATATTGCAGTGCGCAATTGCGGGAGCATATCTTCAGTCTATTGACATGCAATCAAGTCATCCTGGTGCAAAATAAATGATTCAGTTGTAGGTGTTCTTTAGTTCCTTTCCTTTCTTTAAAGAGATTCCAGATGCTCTCTATGCATCTCTATGCCCAGAAAAATCAAAAGACGGCCTTTGGAAAAGTCATGAAAAGTTCATAAATGTGTCTTATTTTCCAGAAAGGATTAGGGATCTTGATGAGATCATGCAGCTGTCTTTCTCAATTTTGTTGTCGAAAAGATTCACCGGAAACCCGTAGCCATCGCAGGTTGAGCTCATGAAGAAAAGCAAAATCAGTCAGGAAAAGATAACGAAAATTACCGGACGAGTGAAGCTTCTCAAAATGGAACTTAAAGAGCTTTGCAAGATTCTGGGTGTGTCTTTCGAAGAGTCTTCTTCTGATGAAGAGGAGGATGAAGACAAACCCTATTGGCTACGGAAAAAGCTTGCAAAAAAGACGGCCTCTGAACGAACACCTTTTAATAACCATCACTTCCTTGATGATGAGAAGAATGCATTGCAGAAGCGCTTAAAAAGGCGAATGAAGCAGCAGAAGCTGAAAGAAGCAGCGCTGTTGCTAGGGCGACTGTCAGCTGCACGGAGGACCCAAGAGCATTCTGCAAGTGACGCAGGAACTGAAAGTAATGTTTTGCCTTTTTGGCAAGACATGGCGTGTTGTCCTGTGCCAGAGGGCGAAGTCATGAAGAACGAGGATGATGTCACAAGAAGCTTGCAGTTGTTGAAAGATACCTTGGAAACAACTCTGAGCCATGTCCAAAAGGACTGCAAATCTGCTGGGGACAAGCCGCGCTTGGATGGAGAGCTACGCAAGCTTATCCCCCAACGTCAGGATGCAAAAGGTCTCTCACGACAATCAGCAGAGTCTGAGCTTTGGCTGTCAAGCTCTCGTATGTCAAGTCACAGCATTGTGCCAATGGGGGAGAGCTCCCCACAATCGCAAGATGGTGCCTTGACTTTCAAGTTTTCAGATCCACAGTTGGGTGACGTTTTTTGTGTGTGTGTGTGTGATCAGTGATTTTGCTAAGATTACCATAGGATCAGCAGGGCATTCTTCAGATTTCTTCAGCATTTTAGCGATCTTAAACCGTGTAAGCCTAGACTTCGGCAGTGACATGTCCAGGTGGCTTGCAACGCGACTGTGTCTTGGGTCCCGCTCGCCATGAACGCCTGGATCTCAAGCGTCGCCCGGAGGGACTGGCACCATCGGCACCCTCCCGTGGAGCCGGCGCCGGAAGCACCACCTCTGTGGACTTTGGCTTCCGCCCCGATGGGGCTGGACACTTGGCACAAGACGGGTTGGAACTTGGAACGTTTTGGAACGTCTGACGGAACACCTTGGAATCCAGCCTTGGAACACCGTGGCGCTGAGAGCTGTTGAGAGGTGTTGAAAGGTGTTTAAAAAAAACATGGTGAACAAAGTTGAAGATGGGATGTCTTTGACGGGTGTTCCCAATTAGCTGCGAGCCAACGCTAGTCCGGAACAATCCACAACGTCTTGGGTGGAACATGAAACAACTTCAAATGACATGATGGTCATTTGATGGTCATTTGATGGTCATTTGATGGTCATTTGATGGTCATTTGATGGTCATGTGACGATCCATGGAGCCAGATCCAATGAAATCCACCAAGGTGAGGAATCCGTTGAAAGCTGGTCGCTCTTCAAGGTCAACAAAGGAGCCAGTTATGGGAGGATTGGGCAGAAATGGCATCCTACAGTGCTTATTATTTGTGTGTGTGTTCATATTCTATGCTGTTCCAATCCTCATGATATCTTATGATTTCCAATATGGGTGGGGGTAATTCTATGGATATTTATTGCTTCCACATTCATAGCAATTCTAATCTGCCTTTCACTGCTGCAGTACACTTCGTCACTGATTTGTTTGACGTTTGCGCCGAAAATCTTGGGTTTGCTTTGCGTTATGGTGCACTGGTCTGACACTTGTATCTCTCAGACTGGAATAGTTGATACTCAAGAAAGTTGGAGCACGCTCGATAGAATATAACCAATCCCTTTTGTTTTAATGTATGTAAGAAATACTGTATGAGAACAGAGAAGATCAGGTTACGACAAGAAATGGTCCATTAACATCTGTTGTTTCGGACTGCACCTGCGGTTGCCGTGTAGTCGCTCAGTTGCTATGGCATTCTCACCGCTGGTGCCGGTGAGGACAGAGCGACTCAAGCGGCTTTCCAATTGAAAAGCCACCACTGCGTGCCTCCTTGTCCAGCGAGCGAGTAATTCAGCCGAGGCCCAGATTGGAAGCATGGCAAAATATGGCAAAGCTCAAGTATGATGAAATGTTTTTGCGACGTCCTGCTGAATCCTGCTGAATCCCATAGTTTTCTTATGTGTGATTGAAAAAGCACTCACACATAAAAGACTGGCGACTTCGGAATACGTATTCACGAAATGTAACTTTCGATGACTTATGATGACTCAAGTATTGGTCAAGCATAGGTCAAGTATGGTCAAGTGCCTCTGTTTGGGTTGCTAGAAAACAAAGCTATTGGCTATTGCATCATCACGTGAACTTTTCCAAGGATACGGCAGCATCCTGCGACTTCGGTGAATATGTGTCTCAACTTCAACAAAGCCGTGGAGCGTGGCACAGCAAATCTGCCACCGACTTGTCCAAAAACAGAACACCATGTTTACCCGTTCCTCGGCTTGAAGATGGGTGAAGTTCAGGACTTTTCCATATATGTTCCTTCAATGAAGCTGATTGAAGTTATTTCCAAATATATTTTGCCATATACTGATATTTACCATAATTATATAATATTATATATTTTAACTTCTCCAGTGTTGGTTTAAAATTTTGGCTCCAAGCAGTGCCCAAGGACCTGATCAACACCAAGTGTCAACAAAAGTTGACGGCCCTTGACTGGTCGCATGGCCCACTTCGCCGCTGGAAATCTGACCGACGGAGGTTGAATGCAACAGACCGAGCCACATGAAATGCAGCAAAATGTGCATGTCAGGTTAGATGACACTCTGGACGAGATAAACTGCTGTGTGCAAAACTGTCACTGAAAACGACTATATAATCTATATATTATATATATAAATGTATGGATATCTTCAGATTGTCTGGAGACTACGTGCTTACTGTCATTCCATCCACCGTGTCGCAGTTTGTACAGGAGTCTCCTTCGCCCCTAAGGGGCCGTCTCACGTTTTCTTGTCTGATCCCAGGCAAACTACTGTTCTAGTGTCAACCGTCGCCAACAATTGCCGATTCTAATAGGATCCTCTATGAGCAAGAAATAAACCTGGGAGAAGACGAGAGCATATCGCCTCATGGCACAAGACAACCAGCCACCGGCAGCCACAAGAAGTCCAAACCTAAAGTAGGATCATAGTCTCTGCAACCGGATGACAATTTCAAGATGTTTCCAGACTTTTATCTTTTTCCAAGGTGTGAAACTGTCCTAACTGTCCGTGGAGACACCAAACCACGGAGATTTTCGTGTGTTTTTATCCTCCGTTTGATTACGGAGGCGTTGCATTCTTGGCGTAGACAGATATTCATCTTCAACAGATCATGGACATTCAATGGTCGGCAGGAGGTGGGTGATGCATGCTGCGGCGTCCCTGCTGCAGGCAGGGATGGGCCCTGGAATCGCCTGATATTTGTGGATATGGGCGGATACCCCAAAATTCCAAGTGTAAAGGGAAAACTGAGAGCTGGTTGGTGGTTTCTTCTACCTTACATATTTCATTTCATTCTAAATGACTTATATTTGTTCAGGGGTGTTGAAACCACCAATCAGGTAATGAACCAATGGATTTTGGGGCACGGAAGTTATGTAGACTGTGAAGACTGTGAAGGGGTTGACTTACACTCTCACTCGAAAAGCAACTCCAATAGTAAAGCGAGGTGTCAAGATGTGTCAAGTACGGCTCATCAGGCAAATGCGCGGAAGGGAACTGAACCAATTTACACAAACGTTGGATGTGAATCTTGACATCTTGCCAGTTTTTGCCAGAAAGTTGCTTCATTCAACAATGATCCCAAGCGACTACAGCAAACTGATTGCATGTTATCTAGGTTTGTATTAAAAGCGAGATTGGTAATGATAATCAGGACGTTGCAGCATAATGTAGCATACAGAATCTGGAAAACTAAACAAAACTAAACATGCATACAGTTGAGACCACGGCAACCGACCCCCGATGATAGGTGCGGCTCCCAAACGCGGTGGAGGCTGAGGCCCATCACCTGCCGCACAGGTGGTAAGCTGAGGCGATGAGGGCCGGCAGCTGTGAGAAGTTGTGGTACCCTCTGGTAAACGTTTACATAACCATGGAAAAATCACAATTGTTCATTGGTTTTTATACAACTATTTCTATGGCCATTTTCAATAGCAAACTGTTGACATAACCAGGTTGGGTAAGT